GTGGGTCTAAGGTAAGACACCAGTCCAGTCTGTGCTGAAACGCTACTGTCAATCAAATTCTCGTGGGAGGGGCCTGTTTTTGTGACGTCACACAGACAGGCATCTGAGATCGGCTCGATTTGAGAAAGGGGAAATGATTTAACGAGATAAAAAAAAAAAAACACTGGGTGGATCATTATCATTATAGGGTGGTTGTGTAAACACACTACCAACACACATTTCAGTTCAAACAACTTGTAAAAGTGCATAAAATGCGCTGCACACATCTTAATATTTGGGTTGAACTGTTCTGGAACAGTGTTGTAAATACAACTTAACCACTGATTTCTAGTCGTGAAATTTTGTTTGGCCTTTTGGAAGGCCAAACAAAGTAGTTTTGCTTTTACAACGAAACAGCGTCACACACCACGGCCTAGAGTGAGCAGAGGCGGGCGGGCTTGAGAACGGCGCGGCCGGCGGATTCGCTAAGTAGTTTCGCTTTCACAACGAAACACACAGTGCCTTCACGACATGGCCGCGGTGGCAACAGCGAGAATAAAAGTTACGCCTTCTTTCTTTGCGTGAACATTTGGGCGGTGTTATGCAAATCTTCCCACATCGTGACGTAGACATGTGGGGGCGTGTTAGAACGAGCCGTTTTAGGTAGGCGTGGCTGACTCTTAACTTTTATAAAGAATATCTCTTTGGATTTGAGACTTTAGTCTTTGCAACTTTACAGATCTTCTTTATGCACCAAGAGCTTGTAACACTCCAAAGAGAAAGGAAAACTTGAAATCGCATCATATGACCCCTTTAAAACATGTAGGCCTGGTTTCACAGACAGGGCTTAGACTAAGCCAGGATAAGGCTATAGTTAAATTAGGACATTTAAGTAATTTTTTTATAAATGTGCCTTAGAAAAAACATCACTGGTGTGCATCTTGAGTCAAAACAAAGGCACTGATATATTAAGCTCAGTCAGTGCAAGTTTCTTTCATTTGAAACAGTTTAGACTTACATTTTAGTCTGGGACTAGGCTTAAGCCTTGTCTGTGAAACCGGGGGTAAAGGACTAGATTATAATTATAAACTGTTGTGAGTTGTTTGATATTAAATTGAAAGGGTTCACTCAAAAATGAAAATTCTGTCGTCATTTGCTAAACAGTTGACTGTAGCCATTGACTTCCATAGTATGGGGAAAAAAATACTACGCAAGTCAATGGCTGCTGTCAACTGGTTGGATACCAACTTTCTTCGATATATATTCTTTTTTGTTCAACAGAAGAAAGAAACTCGTACAGGTTTGGAAAAAGTGGAGGGCGAGTAAATATTGACAAAATGTAATTTTTTGGGTGAGCTATCCCTTTAAAGTTAATACATTTTATATGTACTGAATTGTAATTTAATCATTACAAATGTGTAATTACAAATATTTAAACAATTTTCGTTAGAAATAACATCAAAATATATTTTAGTTTACAACAACTGCTTGTCAGTACATTCAGTAGTACTTTAAGTGGCTCAAAAAACACCTAAGCACTCAACTAATTGCTAAAGTATGCTAAAGTGTACTTTTCACAAGGGCAAACCTATATTTAACATGTAAAAACACGAACAAAGTTTCATCTGATTTAAAGAAAAATGATAATCAAAAGAAGCACTGTAGTTTTTGCAAATTATCAATAAAAAAAGTTACTGATCAATATGACCAACTATGAATTATAAACTCTCAGTGAAAATCTTAATTAACCATCACCTGTCACTGTAGACAGAGCGCTCGTACACCTGTACCGGCGTGCCTGTGGACTGCAGTAATCTGGCAGCAAGGGGCTGCAGATGTGTGCGCATGCGACTCATGCAGGAGAACGTCTGGAACGTGTAGGACCAGCGCTTTGGATCATGATACATCATCTCTAACAGGTTACTGGATGATTGCTGAGCACCATCTACAGTCTGCTACCCAGAAAGGAAAAAACACGTTAGTGAACATAACATACTGTGAGAGTCAAGCTTCCAAAAGGTATTTGGACTTATTTCACTGCTTATTGAGCAGAAAGAGCATTAAAACATGTGGCATTTAAAGACAGCACACTTGAATCAAAATATTTCACAAATACTTGGTTCTACAGGACAAAACAACAGATATACTGTTTACAATTCAGACAATAACTATATGGACACTTTTTGTACATAACTGAAATCATGAAATACACATGTGATTAATAGCATAAAAATAAACCAGTTGATTACAATTAATTACAAAAAGTTCTCATCATTTTATATTTTTATATCTAAATAACAATCAAATTGACTTATGTAACATCATACAGACTCTTTAATTATTGCATGTACTTCTTGGAGCTTGACATACATGTACACAGGGGCGTAATTTCCACTGGGGACAGGGGGGACACGTCCCCCCCACTTTTCAAAATCACGTTTGTGTCCCCCCCACTTTCAAATTCGTTTGTTATGATTTTTTTAACCGAACGCCATCATCGCCACGGAGGAGCAGGACCGAGCAGGGCACAGACTCACGCGTCCGCGTCCAGGAACGTCTCGTGCACACTCTAAAAATAGCTCACTGAAAGTTCTAATGAGCGGGTATCGCATCGCGGTTGCGGCACAGTCAGCGATGAAAAATATTCTATTTATAAAGATAAAAAATGCATTGGAAAGTCAATTTAGGGGGCAAATATTGTCCTTTAATGGAAAAGGTGCAGTCTAAGTGGAAGAGAGGGGGTAGGCCTAAGCAGAAATGCCTCAGGGGGTACTCCACTCTGGGAACTACTGATGTAGAACATTCTGTCCTGTGCAACAAGTGATTTATTTTATATTTTCAGGTACATCGGTTAGTTTGAAATAAAAGTTTGTTTAACAGTGGAAATTGAGTCTCACATTATTTAAACATTATTCAAAACATTAATGGTGAAAATTTTCGACTTTATAAAATGATTCTCTCAAGTCTTGGCGATCGGCCCATATTAAACAATAAAGAAAGACAGACATATTTTTCTTATACATAGTCTAGTAGCCTACTATTCTTTTTTGCCAGAATTGATCATTAATCAACTTAATTATTTCCTGGATTTTGTATCACCATAGTCCCTAAATGTATGTACATGCAGGAAATGGGATTCAAATCGAAAACATTTTCCCCCATTTTGTGTCCCCCCCCACTTCTCAAACCAAAGTTACACCCTTGCATGTACATATATGATCTTCATTTATGAGGGTGAAATATCACTTCAGTCCACTGTCTCAGTGTTGATCTGTCGTCTCGTCTGTGACTAGTGTAGTGACACTGACCGTTTGGTCCACATTTTGCCATTTGCTGACGGGCTCTGCTATCACTTCCCAGTCCTGTCCTGCATTCTGTAGCAGCTTGGCAAATGTTGACTTCCCGACGGCTTTGGATGTTTAGAAGACACACAGCATTACCAACTGAACTTTAAACTAACACTACACGTGAGAACCGGTCTGTTAATGGGCATATGCCACATTAGATAACCATAACTATTATTTTTCAAATTTCATTACACTCACATAACCAGTGTAAACATGAATCATGTGTAAAAGAAAAAAAAACTATAATAAGCAAAACATACCAATGTTTCCTTCGATCGAGACTCTCTTTATTTCATTGCTTCTAAAGTTACTCATATGGCTGCTCGCAAAACGGTAAAAAACAGAGCTCGAGAAAAGGCGTTTTATCGTTCTCATACTCATCCCTGACATCACACAAAAATAATATTACATCATTCATATATGTATAATACTGTCTTGACCATTTTATTTGCACCAAGCATCTCAGCAGAAACGTGCTTCCGGGTGAGTTTCAAAATAAAAGTTTCGCTTTTTCCTTTTTGAAAAATATCAACCTCACAACATCGTTAAAAACAAAAAACAAATAATTATAAAAAAAATATATATTTTACTACAATAATTCTTATAGTGCATCTTTTATAAGATGTCTAATACAAATAATGCAAAATACAGTGTAATTCATGAAAACAAAACTAAAAAAAAAATAAAAGTATTAAAACCATTTTGTTGTTAAAATTACATTTGGGAATTTTTACTAACTTTCTTTGGCTATAAACTAAACATTAACAAGACGAAATGCTTTCGAAAATCTGATTATAAACGTTATTGTGAGTAAAAATAAAAGGAAAAACAAAATTAACCTGATGCTTCCATTATGCATGAAATACTGCTTAAAAGTCTGAATATAAAATCTCTTGAGATACGCCTACAACCAAAAAGTATTGTAATAATCGTCACTGTTGAATATGCAGCCACATAGAAAAGAACACATCAAAAATAATATTTGTCTTCAAACTTGTAAGCAATAATAAAAAATGTAATATTGATCCCTTCCACCAATAAATCTGATTTTTTTTTTTTCACACATTATAAAAGTACTGACTAAAAATGCTGGTTTTATTTGTACTTCCATCAAAACTAAACTCTGATATTCGTTTTATATCCCCATCCATCACAAATACATTTATATAAAAAAAAAAAAAAAAAAAAAAAAAAAAAAAAAAAAAAAAAAAAAAAAAAAAAAAAAAAAAAAAAAAAAAAAAAAAAAAAAAAAAAAAAAAAAGACCTACAGTGTAATACTGACAACAGAAAAAAACAAAAACAAAAGAGAAAATCAAGAGTTTTCAGGATGACTTCTTCTATGAGCTTCAGGAAGCACAGCTGAGATACAACGAAGACAATCAGTGTGCACAAAACAAATTCAGACTCCAAAAAGTGGACCGGACAAAAGAAAGGCTTTCTGGAAAATGCATTAAGGCTGACCAATATGGTATTCATATCAGTGTTTATCTATCCTTGCTGCCTAGTTTCTCAATAAGGTCCTGCAGGGGTGCCAGCTCTCTGCGATCAATGAGATTGAACTCCTAAAAAAAAAAAATATGTAAAAATTGTAATCAGTTCAAGACCAAACAATTTAGACATTGTCACTCATGACCTACAGTACATGTGTGTGTTAATGCACTGACCTGTACGAAGAAGATAAAATGCTTGAAGGAGGTGTTAAGATGAGCTTCCTCCTGAAGCTGCATGACCGAGTCAAAATGCTGATGGTAAATATGAGCATAAACCCTGAACAGACGCTTCAGTATAGTCTTTGCCACTGACATGAAGTTCTTTGGGAAAGGAACGCCTGAAGGGAGTAAAAAGTGCAATAAATGAGAGAGCCTTTCTGACAAGCTTACGCTGTATAACGATTAATAACAAATGGAATCAAACAAACCGATCTTAGATGGGAAGAGAGTTTCATCATCCAGCTGATCCTGAACCCAGGTCATCAAGTAGTCAATGTACTTGGGAGCAGAACACTTGATGGGTTTTTTGATGTTGGTGCCATCTGCCCAGTGATATTCATACCTTTATGAAAAAGCAATTACATTTTAGACAAAATATCCACCATTTATATAATAACAGTATATAAACATTTCTAAAATTTCAAAATGTTATATTTTGTTTAAACCTCATGTTGTATTCTGGTCATTCTGATCCGTAGAGGATTTTCTTTTTCCTGAAAATGCTAGTGAATATTATCACACTGGACTAAAACTTGCTAGCTTTGACTTTATAACAACTTCCCTTAAAGGGGTCATATGATGCGATTTCAATTTTTCCTTTCTCTTTGGAGTGTTACAAGCTCTTGGTGCATAAAGAAGATCTGTAAAGTTGCAAAGACTAAAGTCTCAAATCCAAAGAGATATTCTTTATAAAAGTTAAGAGTCAGCCACGTCTACCTAAAACGGCTCGTTCTAACACGCCCCCACATATCTACGTCACGATGTGGGAAGATTTGCATAACGCCGCCCAAATGTTCACGCAAAGAAAGAAGGCGTAACTTTTATTCTCGCTGTAGTTTTGTTGTTTCCGCCACCATGTCGGAATGACCACCATGAATTTCATTACACCAAATACACAAAATAATATTCTTTTTAGCAGCATCATATGACCCCTTTAACTGGAAACACCTAAACAGGTGAAGGATTTTCAGCACAGCACAAAGTTTAAGTGAAAATTCTAAAGCATTGAAAAGAAGCCATTTTATTTTACCTTGGCCCTGCAGACATAACAGAGCAGCTGGTTTCTGTGCAAAATTCAGTGATTGTGCCATAGAGCATGTTGATCTGGTTGAAAAAGTCCACAGCTGAAATAAAGACAAAATTAATTAATTTGACGCAGTCATTTGTTTTCTCAAAAATACTTACACAAACTCACTGTGTTCATTGGTGATAAAAAGTCCAACAATAATGTAATTGTTATTATTTTCTGATTTAAATGTACCATCAAAAGATGCCGATATTTGATGCCGATACATTGTTATCATTGATACACTGCTGCAGGTGTGCGTTTACTACTGCGTGTGTGCACTTAGGATGGGTTAAATGCAGAGCACAAATTCCAAGTATGGGTCACCATACTTGGCCACACGTCACTTCACTTTCACTATTAAATAAATAGTCATTTGAAATGACCAATTTTACCAAAAATTAAGGACATACAGTTTCAAATCAATAACGTTTATCTAGCAGCTGAAATTTTACGGAAAAAGGTTTAGTTTCGAAATAGATCTTTGTGGATTCTGTTTAAAAGAGCCTGAAACTATCAAGAGTTTATTTCTTTTTGGTTCAGTCACACTGCAGTTCTAGCAGGTTCGTTTTATCTGGTTAAACACCGAGACTGGCAATCCTTAATTTGATTTATTTCATATTTTGGTTTGTGGATGGTCTCTCAAGAATGTCAAAGATGGTCAACATAACCATTATTATGGGTAAATATCATACACATAAATTTAATGAAACCTTAATGCATTTTAAAAAATAAATGCA